GGGAGTTCAAAATTATAACGAATCGCTTCAAGCGTACCTCCCGTAAAATGATTAGGCCCCCTCCCAGCTGCAGGCTCGCGAAGTGGGTCCGGGTCTCGGGGGCGTTGCCTGAAATCCTTTACGGAGCCGAAGTGCATGGCATTTCGGAGTTCGAGTTCGCGAAACTCCGCCGCGAAGTTGGCGAAGTTTTGAGGCCGAGAGCGGGGGGCAGGCGCCTCGCTTCCACCCGTCTGGTCCAGGACGACCCCACCTGGATTGGCCTTGTGGCCCCCATCTTTAGGTGCAGTAAAGCAGTCTGGGCTGCCCATACCCATGCGCACCCTTATACCGCCCCCTCCCCCCCCCACCTTGAGGCAGTTTTGGAACAGGGCCTTTTAGCGGGCCGACGCCCAAGCGGAGGAGAGTTAGTGGGCCTTTGGCGGCCATGCGTTTGTCCGTTGCTAGGATAGGTTGGAGCATGCCGGACTTCGCGACCCTTATCTCGGACTTCGGCGAGCCCATCCAACTTGCATTGGTGGCGCCAGCGTCACGCGTGCCCCTGCTTCGCGGCGCGGTCTTCCGACGGCCAGAGCGTCACATTGAACCTCCCTTGCGATCGTTGGTGCTTTGATGTCGTCAAAGGACAGCTTCGATCTAAACGCTGGTCGCTGGAGTAAGCAAGGTTTCGCAGTCTGCGTTGCGACGCCATGTGTGCGAAAAGCCGCGCTGTGCAAGCTGGCTACATCCAGGGCAATGATCGCTGCGATCAATGCGGTCATGCATCTGATGCGCCGTTTTGCAGGCTCTTGGAGTGTCCGTGCCATGATCAGCTCAGAGCCGAGCTGATCGATCAACGTGTCATTGGCACCGCTTCCGCGGCCGATCCGTCGGGCCCTCTGACGGAGCGCTTGTTTTTCAGGGTGGGGGGGAGGGGGGCTCACCCTGGCGACGCGTTCCCTCGGCCCCAGGTTCGGCCCCGAGATTCCGAGGCGAAGGTTTTATGGCACGCCCCCCCCCCCCCCTGATGATGGCAGTTTCGGCGGTTACGCATTGCATATGGGCGTCGCTTCAAACATCCTGCCTCGGAGCTTTCGAGGGTTGGGCATGATCTTTGTTTGATTGACGAGGACGGGGCTGAGCAGCGCATTATTTGCGCTTCTATTTCCGCTCCTTTTCCGCAGGCGCCACAGCGCGGCGAATTCGCCGCACTGGCGAGAGCTGGGGGAGAAGTTGCCAGCGCGTCCTCGGTGTGTAGTGATTGCAAAAACGTAGTCGACTTTGCCCAGGCCCCGAGGGAGCTTTAGTTTTCTTATCAGCGCCCCTACGATGGCTCTCTCTTTCAGCAAGCTTCTCATAATATTTCGGAGGCTTGTAAAGTCAAGGCCCACCTCGACCCCGGCGAGGCTGGATCAGAACCCCGGGAGACATGGCGCAGTCTAGGAAACGACTCCGTTGCCAACGCAGCGAAGGCAGGAGCAAACCTCCACCCTGTAGCTTCGGAGCTAGAGCTTCTCAGTTTTGCATCAGAGTGTCTAAGGCGGTCCGTACGTTGGCGGGCAAACTGCTGCGACGCTGGCCGCGACTCTATCTGTCTGAGTTTGGGCGCGAACCAGTGTCGGCTGAGCGCCTGAGCAGAGCCTCGGTTCCCGGTCTAATTCTAGCCGGCCAGCATTCTTTTATTCTGCATGGCTCCAATACACATGTCTGTAGTACGTGTTACACGATAGTGCGAATGGCCACGATCAAGGCGGCGCGCGCCACGGGGCGCAGGCCTCCGGCAAGTGGCGAAGCGGTCCTGCACGTCAGCGTTGACGAGATTCGGGCGGCGGAGAGCGGGTGTTCGGACCGGGGGAAGGGACTTCCTCCTTCGCGAGCGCTGCAGTTCTGGCCTAGGCACTCGCTTTTCTCCTGCGCCCGATGCGGCCGCGCTGCAGTGGCTGACCCGCGCCATTTGCTGCGTCTGGGGGGGGGGGGGCTGCGGCGGGACAGGGGGATTTCCGACTCGGACCGATGCCGAGAGATTAGCGTTTATTAGTTACGCATTTGTTTACCCCGCCGGGTGCTGTGCGTGACCCCCTTGCGGTCTCTGGACCTGCGCGGTGGGTTCGATCTGGGGTCCCCGTGGCCATCCTTTTCGCTGTTGCGCGCGTGTCCATTCCCCCTGTCCGCGCGGCGCGCTGGAGGCATTTCTCCCTCCGCGGCGGCTGTTGCACGGGGGGGCCGCCCACGCTGCGTCTGCGGGAAGGGCCTCGCGCGGCGGGTTCGATCTGGGGGCCCAGTGGCCGTCCTTGTCATTGCCGCGTGCTCTCCACCTCCCCTGTTAGCGCGGCCGTGGGGTTGGAGGCGCTTCCCTCCTGCGGTGGCCGCTGCTCAGGGGGCAGCTCTCTGTCGATTCGTCTGCGGTTGTTGGGCTCGCGCGGCGGGCTCGATCTGGGGCCCCCAGTGGCCGTCCTTTGTCACTGCTGCGTGCTGCCCACCCCCCGCGGGGCGCTGGAGGTAATTCTCCCCCCGCGGCGACAGCTGCGCAGGGGGGCCGCCACTTCTCCCGAGAGCGCTGGGCGTGGGCGAGGTCTGTCCAGTCCTCCCCGCCTGAGTTCCCCAGTCGCCTCTCCCCCAACAGTGGCTTCTGTTTTGCATAGCTGACGGTGGCCCTGTAATGGCGGCTGAGTTGAGGTAGCGGGCTCCCCGACAGCAACTCGCAGAGCCCCCTCCCCGTAGCGACGCTCGCCGAGGCAAAGTTTTATAGTGGCACGGGTTCTTTGGCTCCCGTGCCGCTCTGGGCGTTTGGCGTGAGGCTCTCAAAGCTTTTCACACATCACGAGGTCCTGCTGAAACAGATTCCTGCCTTCCTCCTCCTCCTCCTCTTCCTCCTCTTCCTTCTCTTCCTCCTCCTCCTCCTCCTCCTCCTCCTCCTCCTCCCCCCCTCATGCTCATCCTGCTCCTCCTCCCCATCCTCCTCCTTCGTCTCAGTCTGCTCCCCGTCCTCCTTCTCCTCCTCCTCCTCCTCTTACTCCTCCTCCTCCTCCTGTTCCTCCTCCTTCCTCCTCCTCCTCCACCTCCTCCTACTCTTACTCATCCTGTACTGTACTGTACTCCGTGGAAGCGTCTGTCACTGCCCGACGCCCCGAGCAGCAGAGAGATCTAGCCCGAGTCCCCGCTTGACGGGTGCCCAGGGCCCTCGGCCATGCAGAGACCGAACCTGGTGAGCACTTGCGGAACACTCCATCGCTCACCCTGGGCCAAGGAGGATGTGCGGGCACATCTTCCTCGGATGAGGAGGACGAGGAGGAGGAAGAGAAGGACGAGGTGGGGGAGGAGGAGGAGGAGGAGGAGGAGGAGGAGGAGGAGGAGGAGGAGGAGGGCACATCCTCCTGGGCCAAGGCTCCCCTACGCGCAGCTCGGACGAGGCCAAGGAGAGCGGGCGGCGCCTGGCACCCGCGGCTCCGAGGCCGTCCAGCCACGCTACTGCTTGGCCCAGCTCGAGAAGAGACCCTTTAATCGGGGGAGCGTAAGACCCGGGTTTGCCAGGACTCGGGTTCGCCATCGTTTTTTGACGACCGCGCCTCGGACTTTGACGGGGAGGAGTTTCGTGGGATGTCTGCAGCGGGAGGCCTCGTCAAAGTGCAGGCTCGGCCTCGTCACTTTTTTGACGACCTCGTCGGGGATTTCCGAGTCCCTTGTACCCAGGTCTTACGTCCGCCTGATTTAACACTCTGGATCGTTGCTGCCTGAGATCTTTGGTGGGCGGCGCGTGCGGGCAGACTTTGCAAAGACTGCCAAGTCCAGCCCACGCGTAGCCCCCCACATTTCAGGCATGACATGACCCAGCCGCTCCCACCCACCCGAGCTCCCGCCCCGTCCCAGGCCTTGAACATCACGAGGTTGTGTCCCTGCAGCAGCATCAGGACACGGGCCTCCGTGAGGAGCCCCTCGGAGGCCTCAACGGCTGCCGAGTCCAGGAACAGGGGGACACGGAAGCTGAGCAGCGCCTGGCGACAGCCAAGGTGGGTGTATTCACGCACGAATCCAACACGCTCAGTCCGAAGCAGGCGGCGCTTCGGGCGCAGCTTAGGCCTAGCATTCATCCTCATCCTCCCCCTCCCCTCCTCTCTATACTCCTCCTCTTCTTCTTCCTCCTCCTCCTCCTCCTCCTGCCCCTCCTCTCATGCGGCCCATGCGCCTGCTCTGGCCGTGGCGCTGTGGCTCAGCAGGGAGGCGCACCTGGGCCACCGACGGTTGGGCTCTCTCCGACGACCCGTGCGCCCGCCGTCGGCCGCCGCGCGGGCGGGTCTCCTGGCCGGCACTTGGGCCGCTGCTGCACATCGGGAGCCTTGAGACGGGGGTCAATGCAAACGGGGTCAGCCAGAGCGTCCGATCTAGCAGCGATCGCACTGACCCGGGTTTGGGTGCAGGATTCTGCCGGATTTTGAAGGATCCTTCGCATTGACCCGGGCTTGGGCACAGCATCTTGCAGGATGTTGCGGGATTCTGCATGGTTTGCCTGGCCCGGGTCTGGATTGACCCTGGTCAGAAGATCCACGAGCACAGTTCGGGAGCCTTGAGGAGCTTTGAGACCCAGACAGGATACAGTGGTAAGATATCCCGACGGGAGGTTTTTGGCCATTTGCGGCCTTTGGAGCCCCAGGAGCCGAACATGGCCAAGCACCTTCCGGGCCCTCGCCGGGCCCGGGGGCGGTCAGAAAACAATTCTGGATGAAAAACTGGTCTTGGGGAACGGGTCGGCATTTCCGAGGACCCCGCATTGAAACAGATTCTGACATCCGTTTTTGGAGTTCGGGTGCAGACGGGGCTCAGTGCAAACGGGTGGTCAGGCAGGAGCAGCAGCAACATCAGGAGCGAGCAGGAGAGGGGGGTATGGTGAAGAGGGCAACGAGGAGGAGGAGGAGGAGGAGGAGGAGGAGGAGGAGGAGGAGGAGGTGTTTGAGGAAGAGCAGGAGGAAAAGGAGAAGGGGAGCGATGGGTGGGCGCGTTTGCCGCTCCCGCCTCCTCGCAGAGCCCAGGCAGCTGCCGCCGACGCTGGAGGTCTGAGGGGCGCCGCGCCCGCGCCGCGCCCCGCGTGTGCGCGACGTGGCGCGGCGCGCCAGGCGCCAGCAGGGGAAGTGCCTTTCGAGTCTGGGGAGGGGGGGCGGAAAGGTGAGGGAGAAAGGAGAGTGCTGGGGCAGGGGGGACGGGGGGGGAGGAAGGGAGGAGGGTGCAGAGTGCAGGAGGAGGAGGACGTGGAGGACGAGACGAGGAGGAGGAGAGGAGGAGGAGGGGAGGAGGAGGAGGGGAGGGAGGAGGAGAGGAGGAGGGGGGAGAGGAGGAGACGAGGAGGAGAGGAGAGGGAGTAGGAGGAGGAGGAGAGAGGAGGAGGAGGAGGAGGAGGAGGAGGGAAAAGCGGGCCCCAAGCTCCGATTTGGACTCGCCCCCGCGGATGCTTCCTTCCGGGGGTAGGAGGGATAAGGATCGGCAGCAGCAGGAAAAGGATGTTTCATGAGTATCTGGCCAGATAGAGAGGGAAGACTAGGAAGGTACGGCGGGAGGGATGGAAGTGGAGGAGGAGGAGGAGGAAGCGGAGCAAGAGGAGAAGAGGAGGAGGAGAAGGAGGAGGAGGAGGAGGAGGAGGAGGAGGACGAGGAAAAGGCGCACCCTGCACCCCCTCCCCCCAGGAGCGACCGCCGTTCCTTGTCGCTCCCTGGGGAACCGCCCCGTTTGAGAGGCGGTGGGGGTGTGCGCCAGCTCCCAAACAGAGAGCTCGGTCGGCCAGACCCGCGGCCCGACAGAGTCGGGGGAAGAGTCCGTCCGATGCGGGGGCGGAGGGAGAACCGCGAGCGGAAGCGAGGGCGAGAAGAGCGGTGCTGATCGGTGGCCTCTCGTTCCCTCCTCCTTCTCCTCCTTCTTCTCCTCCTCCCTCTCCTCCTCCTCCTCGGAAGCACGGCGGAGGAGGAGGAGGAGGAGGAGCAGGAGGAGCAGGAGGAATGGCGGTGCTGATCGGTGGCGATGACCTCTTCCTGCTGCGAGGCGGCCCCTCGCATGGCGGCACGGCGTCCCCGCCCCGAGGATGCCGAGGTCCGTGGGCCAACACGGGCTGCAGTCGCTGACGGGCTGGGGAGAGCACTTGAGCAGCCTCTGTGGGAGGGTCGGTCGTGATGTTCTTCTCTTCCTCCTCCGTTCAGGTGCCAACGTGCGCAGACAAAAAACAGGCGGGCTCGGGAGAGCTGGGGAGCTGCACGGTCCACACGGCTTCCGACCACTCAAACGAGAAGGTAGCACGGACGTGCTGCCGTTCGCCTCCGCCGCCTGCTCGCAATGCCAGAGAGCGGTTGCCATCCTCGAGGACGCCGGCGTACTCCTTCGGCCGTCACAGTCAGCTCGCTCGCAAGCGTCAGGAGCCGGGCGAAGGGTGGCAAACCCGTGGCTGCTAAAACTGAGTTTTGGGAAATTGTTTTGATTCTTCTGGGAAGCAGCCCGTTCATTAGTGCGCTGAGTTTGATTCCGGGAATTTATATTTGTTTCTTCCGGGAAAACCGTTTTAGCAGCCACGGATTTGCCGGCCCTCGCCCAGCTTCCAGAAGCGCCTCATCCCAGCGATCCTCCTCGGTGCTGGAGGCATCACCTGCGCCGAACTGCTCGGCCGCCGTCTCGAGCAATGCGCGCCTCCATGATGGTGGGAAACGTGCCGGCGCGTCTGGGCCGAACTCCGTGGTAGCTTCGGCCGCCTGCTTAAACTCGGGTTCCGACGGCACTGTCGTCATCCAGGTTTTGTGGGTCTCGGTCGTCAAGCTTCCTGGTCTGCCCCCTTCTTTCAGGGGAGGAAAAAAGGTATCCATACCTTGACCCCCCGCCCGTTTTCCCCCTTTTGGGCCTCCTGGGAGGCCCTCGTCGCCACTGCTGGATTCGCCTCGAAATCCTGGACAGGTCGCACCTTGCGAGAGGTCCGGGGAGTCGCGGTATCGGTACCTTTTGATTTTCCCATCCTTCACGCAGCAGTTCTTCCACGGCTCTTCTGGCAAGGCGTCGAGCCGGGACTCTGTTCTACAGTAGCGGCCACTGCCAGCAGGCCAGACCTCTCGCGCAACACTTGGTGGGCACATCTGCGCTCTCCAGCACGGCCAGGTCGTCCATGGACGTGTCCACACTCGCCGCCGGCACGAGTGTTTGGATGTTTCCAGCGCTCAGGTAGGTCACCGTAGTTTTTTGTTGCCCCCCTTCGGAGGAGAAAATATTCACTGCGTGGAGCGCTCTATTAGCATGGACCTGTCCGCCGTGAGCGTCCAGGCGCAAGAGTTTTCGAATGTGAACGGGCTTGAGTATTAACGGTCTTGGAGCGAGACTGATTGTGAATGGGTTGGAGTGTAAATCAGTCTCTGCGCACGAGCTTGGGGCCTCCTGGAGCCTCTTGAAACCTCCTGGAGCTTTCTGGTGCCTCCTGGAGCCTCTTAGGGCCTCCTGGTGCCTTTTGGGGCTTCCTGTGGCCTCCTGAGGCTTCCTGGAGCGTAGTATGGCCTCCTGGGGCCTCGTGTGGCCTCCTGGGGCCTCCTGGAGCCTCCTGGGGCCTCCTGCGGAAATTCGTGCCCCCGGAGAGGCCCAATCTGTAGGAGCAGACGTAATACACTTCGGATTGGAGCCACAGGAGAGGGGCAATCTACAGGAACATACTCAAAACACCAAGGACTCGTGCCCCAGGGCAGGCCCAATCTATAGGAACATACGTCAAACACTTAGGAGTGGATACGCAAGAAAAGGACAATCGATAGGAACATACATTAAATATGTGGGATTGGAGCCAGTCCTATGGCCTTCTGAGGCGTCCTGCTCCTGGGGCCTCGTGGGGGCTCCTGGAGCCTTTGCGGCCTCCTGTTGCCTCCTGTCGCTTCATGTGGCTTCCTGTTGCCTCCTGTGGCCTCCTGGTGCCTCTGGGTGCTTCAGTGGGCCTCCTGGAGCCTCCTGGGGCCGCCTGAAGCCTCCTATGGCCTCCTGGGGCCTCCTGTGATTTCCTGTGGCCTCCTGATGCACCTCCTGTGGCCTCCTGGGTCCTCCTGGAGCCTGCTGGATGGAGACTCCTGTGGCATCCCGAGGAGGATCCGTGCGCACGAGCCTGGCCAGCAAAACAGGCAAACTGTTCGATACATTCTCGCAATCTGAGCCCCCTGGGGTGCGAAAACCAGCGCCTCGCACGAGACATCCTCCAAATCTGCTCCGAAAGCGAAGGATGTTGAGCTGGAAAACAGGCAATCAGCTTGAGACATCCCCGCAATCTGGGCGCGAACGGAGGCCGTGAGATACCCCTGACGACCCCCCTTAGGAGTGCGAAAACCAGCAAACCGCCTGAGACATCCTCAGGATCTGCTCTGAGCGCAGACGAATCTGGCCACCAATACAGGCACACCGCTCGAGACATCCGTGCAATGTGGCCCCTTCTGGTCATCAGTACTGTCATCACCATCCTCATCATCATCGTCAACACCACCATCATCATCATTACACTCACCAACAGCATCAGCATCATCATCATCATCAGCATCATACCAACCATGATCACCATCATCATCACTATCGTCATCATCATCTTCATCATCATTCATCATCTTCATCACCATCCTCCTTTTTCATCAGCATCAATCATCGTCTGCATCATCATCGTCGTCATCATACTCTTACCGCCATCTTTCGGCATCATCATACTCTGAGTGCATCATCAAACTCTGAGTAGGATGGGGAAGAGAGGGAGGAGAGGAGAGGAAGGGGAAGGAAGAGGTCCGCGCGGTCAGAGTAATACCAATAACCCCATCTTCGGATATGGGGAAACACAGCATAAGCATTAACTTTTGGCGCTCCGCGCGGATTTTTTGGATCCGCGCCCGGGCCCCCCTGGCGGCGCCTCTGGCGCCGCCCCTGGCGCGCTCCACGCGCCAGGGAGGGGGGTCCAGCGCAGATCCAAGAAATCCGCGCGGAGCGCCAGAAGTTTATATATGTATGGTTTTCGTTCTTCTTCTACCCCTGTCGTCAAGTTGACCAGATTGCTGCAGGTCATCTTGGTCTGCTCCGAAGTTCCGCGCACGAGCACTGCGCCGCTATCCGACGGCACCTCGACCAGTCACTTCTCGCAGACGCCTCTGTCCCACGCGCGGCGAATTTCACCACCGAGAGACTCTGGAGCAGTAGTATCGCCGCGAAATGCTTTTAAGTCTCGAACTGACTCCGCTGCCAGGGCTGCTGCTGTCCGCTTCTGTGCGTCCCCGCCTCTATCCTGCTTCATGTTGGCGGCTTGTCGAAGGTGTTCTGACTCGTTCGACAGCGGATACCGACCTCGAAGCGTCGCTTTCAGCCTGTCGATCGGCTTGGTCTCGTCCTTCGTGAGCCCGTCAGGCAGCTGACCCGACGTCGGAGCCCATCGCAGAGGCATTGAAAGCGTCGTATCGCCAAGCTTTCTACTTGTCAGCACATCGATCGCCGTTCGCTTGTTCTTGACCGCAGCCCCAGAGACATCGATGTTGTTGAAAGTTGATGTGCAGTCGATGACGTACCCTCGCTTCGCAAGTGAATCCTGCCCACGTGATGCATCGACTTTTACCTTGTCCCAGACCCTCGACCAGGATCTGAACCTCTCCCGCCAGTGTAGCTGCAACCACTCTGGAGACGACACGCTTTCCAATATTCGGCGGCGAGCCTGGGGGGGAAACGACAAGGAGCGGGCCTTCTCAGAAGGCTCGGAAGTCCCCCGGCCTTCTGAGAAGCGTTCTAAGCCTTCCCCGAAAACACAGACAAATTCTCAGAAGGCGCGAGGGGTTCTGAGAAGTCCCGCCGCCTTTGAGAAGGCCTTCTCCTTCTCATTTCCCCCCTCGCCCGCCGCCGATATACGGGGGCCTCTGGCTCGACATCTGGGTGCATGTGATCGAGACGCCAGAGTGGCAGCTGCTCGCCTCCATCATGTGTCCGGTCACCCATCACGTCCACGTCTTTGAAATTTCGCGTGCACCAGACCGTAAGGGAACATAACTCGGAGCGGGGCCTTGTCTTTTGGCTTCAAGCTGCTTCTCAACAGACTC